AAATAAATAAATAAAAATAAAAATTAAAAAAAAACAGAAATCAAATTCAAGGCAGAGTCAATCCCAACTCAGGCCAACCCTCCATCAGAAGAGAGCGGCTAATGGATTCCAATCACCAGTGTGAGTCAGCACTCGAGCACTCAGCAGGTAACACGCTGCTCCACCAGGACTCCTTCACAAAGACTTCAGCCTTGGAATCCTACAGCTGTTGTCCGACAGCATCGCTGGGAATCAGAATCTTCCAGAAACCTATGGGTTCCAACTCATACCTCTAACCCTAATCAGCCTGGTGCTTAATCACTGTGCCACCAGGGCTCTTACAATAGAAATCCAGTGTCCCTCAACCATGACTCTTCACATAGTAGCCCCAAACAAACTTTGCTCTCTAGACATTTGCCTCTCTCATATAAGTGGGATCAGACAATATTTATTTGTCGTTTGGGGACTGAATTCATTCACTCAGCTTTGTTCTCAATGCCCATTTATGTGACAGCATGCATGAGGACTTCCCTTCTCTTTATGGCAAAGTAGTGCCCACTCCATGTACATACTGCATTTTGCTTATCCATCATCTGTTAATGGACATCTATGCTGTTTCCATCTTTCCACTATTGTGAACAGTGGTGCAATGAACATTAAGGCATAAGCTTCTGTTTGTTTTTCTGCTTTCAATTCTTTTGGACATATATATACCTAGGAGTGGAATTTCTGGGTCATATGGAAATTATCAAACAATATTACTAATATCACATGAAAGCAAGATCCTGCTGAAAATTATCCAAAATGACTGGAACTGCTAGATGTGCAGGCTGCATTTAGAAGAGACCGTGGTACTAGGGATATTACAGCCAATGTTAGATGGAAAGCAGAGTACCAGAGGAATGTCTATCTCTGTTTCATTGACTGTGCAAAGGCATTTGATTGTATGGATCACAACAAGCCATGGCTAACTCTGAAAAGAATGAGAATCCCAGAACACTTGATCATGCTTATGCAAAACCTATACTTAGACCAGGAAGCAGTTGTCAGAACAGAGCAGGGAGACACTGTATGGTTCAAAATCAGGACAGGTGTACAGCCTATCTTCACACCCTTTCAATCTCTATGTGGAATAGATCATCCGAGAGGCTGGGCTTTATGAGGCAGAATGTGGCATCAGGAGTGGAGGAAGACTCATAAACCACCTGTGTTACACAAATGACACAACTCTGCTTGCCAAAAGTAAGGAGGGCCTAAGGCATTTGCTGTGAAGGTCAAGGAATGAAGCCTTAAATATGGATTGAAGCTCAAGATCAAGAAACCAAAGATTGTCACCACTGGGCCAACTGGCAGCATCATGATAGGCAGTGAAAAGATTGAGACTGTTAACAGCTTCAGTTTGCTTGGCTCAAAAATCAACACTCTTGGTACCAGCAGCCAGAAAATCAAAAGATGAATTACATTGGGAAAATCTGCTGTCAGGGGCCTCTCTAGAGTCTTGAAGAGCAACAATGTCAGTCTAGAGACTAAGGAGGTGTGCCTGATCCTAGTCTTCACAATTACTTGCTATGCATCAGAAAGCTGGACAATGACTAAAGATGATAGGAGAACTGATGCCTTTGAGTTGTGGTGCTGGAGAAAAGTATTGAATAAACCATGAACTCCTAAAGACAAACACGTTCATCCTGGGGAGGGTGAAACTGGGTTGCTCCTTGGAGGCAGAGATCTGACACATGTTGCAAGGAGGGACCAGTCCTTGGAGAGGGACATCATGTTTGGGGCAGTGGAGGGACAGCATAAGCGAGGAAGACCCTGGATGAGATGGATTGATTCAGTGACTGGGATAATGGGGGAAAGGTGTGTCTGAGAGAATGAGGCTGGCTCTAAATAGAGTAAGGAGTAGAGTTGTTGTACATAGGGTTGCTATGAGTTGCAAGTAACTCAATGGCACATAACAACAAGGTAATTCTATATCTAACTTTTTGAGGAACTGCAAAACTTCTTTTCACAGCAGATGTGCTATTTCCCTGATTAATTCTTAACCAGTAAACACTTCCATCAGAGTCTAAGGACCTTAACTAACATCTGGAGTCCCAGTATTTGTCTAACTTGTCACTAAAACTTCAAAGCAGAGTGAAAGTGGTTGTTGGTCTAGCATGTTATACTATAAAATGCAATCAGACTGTACCTAGTTAAGGGTCTTCCTCTTCTTTGCTGAACCCCCACCTTTCCAAATATGATGGCCTTCTCTAAGAACTAGCCTCTCCTCTAATAAATGCCCAATATATGTGAGACAAGTTTTGACAGCCTTGTCTCCAAGGAGTACTCTGGCTGTACCTTCTCTAAGACATATCTGTTAGTTCTTCTAGCAGTCCATGGGCTTGTCGGTACTCTTCTACTAGTCATAAAAATTAACAAATAAACCACTGCCATCACGCCCACTCTGATTCACGGTGACTCTCTATCTGGTTTCCAAGGCTACAGAGCTTTCCTACGGGGAGAATACTACCCAGCGTGCTCCGGCAGAGCAGCTGGCAAAATCAAGCCACTACCCTTTTCGTTAGCAGTGCACTGTAATGCCACCATACCACAAGAAGATACCACTTCACCCCACATACACACTAGAACGGTTATTATTAAAACAATGGAAAATCACATGTGTTAGCAAGGATGTAGAGAAATTGGAAACTTCATCCTTTTTTGGTTGGGAGGCAAAACGGCCCAGCCAAGTTGAAAAGGGGTTGGCAGTTGCTTAAAAAGTTAAACAAAGAACTGTCATATGACCCAGTAATTCTACCCCTAAGTATATGCAAAACAAAACCCCAAAACTGAAAGCAGGAACTCAAATAGGAATTTACACAATGTTTACTGCAATACTACTAACAATAGACAATAGCTGGAGACAAATGTTCATTAACAGATAAATACACCAAATGTAGTGCAGACACACACAATGGAATGCTAGTCACCCATAAAGGGAAACAAAGTTCTGATACATGCATGGATAAATCTTGGAAACAGGAAATATAATGTTCAATGAGATTAATTAATCACAAAAGATAATATTGGGCGAGCTCTGGTGGCCTAGTGGCAAGAAGCTGCAACTGCAATCACAGAGATACATGGTTCAAATCCACCAGATGCTCTGCTGGAGAAGGAGGAACAATCTCCTCCTGTACCAGTCAGATCTGATTTGACGGGACACACAAAAAATAATGAAATAAAAGAATTTTAAAAAAAAAAAGATAACATTGTGCAAAACCACTTACATGAAGAGACTAAAGTTTGCTGGCACTAACCAGGGGCAGGAAAAGGGGGAGAAAGGAGTTTGAGCCTCGGGGGCACTGAGCTTCCATCATTGGTGAAATATTTTAGAATAGACCATGGTCATGGTTACACAATACGATGAATGTCACCAATGCCACTGAAACCCCACATGTAAAAATAGCTGACTTGGAAAATATTTTATTACATGCATTTTACTTTGTTTTAACCACAATAAAACAATTGGGGAGGGGGGCAAGAAGCCAATCAAAACACCCTCCTCACTCCATCATTCTCTGTGAGCAGACAGTAGATGCATCTGCAGAAGTTTCTAATAACTGTTGTTTTTGCCATTGAGTCGAGCACAACTCATAGTGACCCTATAAACAAAAGACCTGAAGCCTTTTATAACTATCATCGTTTATCAAAGTTCATAGAGGTTCCAGAGGCATGGGGATTAGGAAGTGAATGCCACTCCTTCTTCCAAATCTGTCTTAAACTGGGAGCTCCACCAAACACTGTCCACTGTGGACAGGCGTTATGGCATTTGATACCCGAATGGCACAAGTTTCAGCATCACAGCAACTCCAGGTTACTTCAGTACAGCATAATGACAGAAGGGTACTGTACCAGTTAGAAGAATGTTACTCCAAAATATAATAAAAACTGACTTTTAAATACAAAGACCATCCCCAAGGTCTTGTTGACTCTAAGCAAGAGGCTTAAATAAAAAAACCAACCAATATAATATGTTGTTGTTGTTGTTATAGCTATTTGCTAAAAAAGTAGTAAATATCCCAAGCCCATCTTCTGTAATTCTACTCATTGTGTACACAGGCTTATAATCGCTGACCCCAGCTTGCCCCATGGAACCTATATAAATGTGGAAACTGATGCAAACAAGGAATAAAGGTAGACAATTCCCCATGTGTTTTACAGCCTCCTGAAAACAGCAATGAGACAGATGTGAGACAGAGAGCTATTCTAATAACTAGAATAAGGAATAAATGTTCCAGAAGCAGCACAGCCAATATGGCAGGATGCAGTCAGAAGAAATGACTACAGAAAAGAGAATGGAAGACCTCACCAACAGGAGTCTGCAAGTAAACTCTAGCCTAAGGACTTCACCATGTTTCTTCTGTCTTTTGCACAGTCCACCTATGTCACCAGCGCTTACTGGGCAGTCAACATAGACGTGACTGAATGAATCGAGTCATTAAGTGTGTCAGACCAGAAACATGCGAGATTCTTGGCTCCTCTTGCCCACATTCGGCCAGCCAGCACATCTCAGCAGCTCTGACAGCAGTTTACTGACCCGACCACCCTTGACCACCAGCCCTGTAAACCACCAGCGTCTCTAGAATTCTTGTTTGTTTCATAGCTAGCCTCTTCTTCATTCTTGCCACGCCACCTCCTAACCTGCCTATACGCAAAATCAAAAACAGAGGAACAATCTTTACAACCCACGTCCCTCCCCTGCACTTGCCTCCCCTGCTGACATCACTCACTGCACACTAGCGCAGACGCATGGCTCTTTTTAGCCATCGTAGACAACAAGTTCATTCAATTCGTCAAACTCAGGGCCCGACCTCAGGCCTTTGCCCTTGCTGTTCCCCCTCTGCCTGGACGTTCTGCCTCTGGATCCCTCTGGGGGAAGAGGTCGGTTCCCTGCAATGTTCTCTTCTGAGAACGATACTGCCTGACCGTGGTTCCCCTCGCGTCCCTCACCGTATCTAGCGAGCGTCTTTCCCTAGAGACAACGAAGGCCACAGGAGTGTGCGTCACTCCTCGGACCCTGGGCCCCTTGTCTGCTTTCCAGTCTCAGCCGCTCAAGCCGGCCCTTACCTTCTTCCAGCGGCTCCAGGCCCCTGCCGTAGCTGACCAGGTCCTCATCGTTGTCACTGCCCAGCGCCGCCATATTTCTTCCTTCCAGGTCCCGCCTCCCGCTACGGCGGCCGCGAAGGACCAAAAGCCTTTCTCCTTCGCTAATCCCGATTAATTTAGAGCTCCAGAGCTGAGCAACTTCCTGCGAAGGAAGGAAATTCGCTGTCAACACAAGACATGAAGTTCGAATCCACCCGCTGCTCAGCGAGAGAAAGATGGGCAATCTCCTCCCGTGCAATTAACTGCCTCTGAAAACCGGCTGAGTCGGTTCCGACTGTACGGGACATAACAACATCAACAGAGCTAAACCTGTAGCCTAATGAAAGCCTGACCCAGCTGGTTGCTGCCCCGTGACTTGATCCGAGTCCGGGAGGAGGAAGGAGGCTGGGGTTTGGGGTGAAGGTGTCAGGTGGAACACGCGGAGTTGAGACACGTCTTCGCTCCGGACTCTGGCCGTCTGCAGGGGGCGCCAGAGAGAAGCTGGAAACTAGTTCGTCCGCCACCGGATTGGTTCTGCGTAAATTGACAGCTGTCACCCTCTCCCCGCCCCCCAGCCTCCTCGCCTCGGAGGACCAGTTGCCTTCTTGTTCCCCCTCTAGACACCAGTCAAGAAAATCCCTGGGCTCCCAGATATACCCATTAGCGCCGCTGTTAATTCCACTTACTAGTAGACGTATAAAGGAAAAGACAAGATACACAACTACGTTCTATGGAAACCGTAGAAAGGTGGAATAACGTAGTGACTTGCTAATTAAAAAATCGCCTGTTCGAATCCATCAGGCTCTCAGTGGGAGCAAGCTAGGCAGTCTCCTCCAGTAAAGATTTACAGCCTTGAAAACCAACCCTGTGGGGGTTTGCTATGGGTCGAAAGCGACAAGATGACAGGTTATATGCGTTGTTGTTTGCTGTTATTAAGTGCCATCAAGTCGCAGACGACTCATAGCGACACTCCCTATGACACTCCCTATGACACTCTCCAAGTTAACAGGGTTTTTGGAGGCACGCTATTTTAGAAGTGGATGCCACTCCTGCTTCCAAGCTTGTTTTGATCTGGGAACTCCACCAAACACTGTCCATGGGTAACCATTAGCGAATTTGACACATCAGCGTCACAGTGTTTAGCATCATAGTAACCATGAGTTACCTCTGTACAATAATGCACAGATCAGTGCTATACCACTTAGAAGAATGATCAAAAACAATTAAAACCAGCCCTGAGGGCCACAGATTAAAATCACTTATAATCAATTCACTCCCAATGGCTTTATTACATTGCTCCTTATGTCTCCCTGAAACAGAGATCAAACAAACCTCTGTATAATTAGGCTGCTCCAGGCCGCTTCCCTATCTGGAAGCAAGTCCATACTACTGACCCCATGCCTTTTTAAATTGGAGGCCGAATATAATCAATTCACTCCCAATAGCTAATTAACATTGCTGCTTATGTTATATGGGTAGATAAAGATAAAATTCAGACATATTGCTCTAGAGTCAGAATTTACTCTAGCAGGTTTTCGGAAGGCTTTGTAAATCACATGGGAGGAGATTGCGCATCTTTCTCCCCTGGAGATGCTGGTGGATTCCAACCTCCAGGGAGACGTCACCTTTGGGGTTGACAGCTCAACTTTCCACTGATTATTCCACCAGCATTCCATACACACACACAACACATCACTGAGTAACACAGTTAAGAGCTTTCTTATGAGGTGAAAGGTTGGCTGTTGGAGCCTACCAAAAAACCTGGAAATCTGTTTCACTAAGGTCACAGCCTCAAAAATCCAATGGAGCAGTTCTCCTCTGTTCATACCAAGTCACCACGAGTTGGAAAATATCCCTCAGTTCAATGAGAACCTGCTCCATCGGTATGAATATATGGCAACCAAAAACTCGATGTTCAAAACCCCTGCTGCGGAGTTGGTTCCAGCCCACAGCAACCCTCCATTAGCTTTCCAGGGCTGTAAATCCTCAGAGGAGGACATGCTCCATCTTTCTCCCATATTAAAACCTTAAGTTTGAGTTCAAACTTGTGGCCTTTTCCTTAGCAGCCTGACTAGTTGTGCACTACTTTTGCCCTTGACAACCACACACACTGCATAAATGCAAATGGTATCATGAACAACTAACTCATTTGCCCTTGTGCTTAAATGAGTAAGTAGAATGCCATTTCAGGCCTCTGAAAGGATCCACAGACACTAAGTACCTATGGACACTCTGGTAGCTTGAGAGTGGCTTGAAAGTGGCTTGAAGGTTAAGGCTGCCAACCCAGAAGACACTTGGTTCAAATCTACCAGCTGCTCAGAGGGGGAAAGATGGGCAAGCTCCGCCCAATCAATCTCCTGCCTCTGAAAACCCACGGAGGCCAGCGATGGGTCAGTTCTGACTCCATGGCTCGTAATAATAACAAGTATCTATGAAAAAGAATACTGAATGTCTCATTGATGGCAACAGAACAAACAAGTCTGTTTTGGAGGAAGCGCAACCAGAATGTTCCTTAGAGGCAAGGATGGTGAAACATACCACTCATATACTTTGGGCATGTTGTCAAGAGGGGCCAGTCCTTGGAAAAGACAAGATGGAGGTCAGAGACAGAGAAGAGAAGCTCAAAAAGATGGATTGACACGGTAATTGTAACAATGGGGTTGAGCATGTCAGAGATAGTAAGTTATAATGGCACAGAATAGGACAAGGTTCAGATTCTTTGTTTATAGTGTCACCATGAGTCATGATCAACTTGATGGCACATCACAGTAAGAAACACCTTGAGGAAACAGAGCAGGTCAAAGATAAAAGGAAAATAGGAAAGAATGGACAAAAGAGAGAAAACTTGGTGAGAAAAGAAAAGGGAGAGAACATGAATAGAGAAAAGAAAAAGAATGAAAACTAGAAAAGGACAAGAGAAGGCAAACACATGTGAAAGGCTGCTGTGGGGTTGGGATGGGAGCAGGTGGCTCCTTGGTGAATCTGGAGAAAGCAACATTTGCCAATGGGGTGCTGTTATCTCACCCACGATACCACTGTGCAAATGAGAAACTGTGTTCATTTTCCTGGAAGCAAGAATTCTAGATTTCTGGATACATGAAGTTGAGATGACCCACCCAGACATTTGCCTTTAATAAGTGCCTTTCGAGCCTTGAGCCTTTACGGAACTGGTTTTCCGTGGTTCCTGAAGAGGGTGAAACCAGGTTGTTCCTTGGAGGAAAGGATTTTGAAATTCCATTTCACATGCTTTGGGTATGCTGTCAGGAGGGACCAGTCCTTAGAGAAGGACAGCATGCTTGGGAAGGCAGAAAGTCAGCAAAAAAGAGGAAGATTCTGTGTGAGATGGATTGACACAGTGACTGGGCAATGGGGTCAGGTGTGTGAAGTGAGGTCAGAAAGTGGTGGATTTAGCTCAAGGTAGGACAAGGTTCAGAGCCATTGTTCATGGGTTGCTATGAGTTGTAGTCAACTCAAGGGCACATAACAATCACCACCTCCACTCATATAACCACCTGCATGATCTACCTTGTGGCTACTGGTCTCTCCCTATCTGGAGAAAAGTTTCTCTCTCTTTGCTGAGTCAGAATTGGTTCAAAGCTGACCCTGCATTGGGGTTTTGAGGTTGTAAATCACATAAGAGATTTCCTATCCTTGTCCTGGGGAGCCACTGATGGATTCAAACCACCAGAGAAATGCAGCCTTTGGGGTTAGCACTAAAATTTTTTACAGACTCTGCCTCTAGAGCTCCCTGGACTCAAAGAAACATGCAGTCCAAAGGACTAACTGACCACTCGACAGACAGCCTCCATTTTAACCACAGCCCCATGACTCTGAGACCGGAAGAAATAGATGGTGCCCAGCCATCATTACTAGTGATGGAAACTACAGAAGATCCTGTACAGAATGGGAGGAAAATGTACAACGAAATCCAGAATCATAAAGAAGATCAGAATTACTAGTCTGAAAGAGACTGATGGAACCCCCGAGGCTGTGGCCCTCATTATTTGGTACCATCGAGTCTGCTCTTACACACAGCACCCCTGTGTACAACAAAACAAAACTCTACCTGCTCCTATGCCAGCGTGACAATCTCCACCATTGCAACTGAGGTGTCAATCCATCCAACAAGGGCCTTTCTTTTGCTGACCTGCTTGTCCAAGCATGATGACTTGCCTCTTCTGATAATATGTCAAAAGTATATGAGATGGAGCTCTGGTGGCTTGTTGTATTCCAAGGGTAAAGTATTTTTATAATTATTAATAATGCGCCAGACTACCAGGAATGATATAGAACAGAGAGTGTGAAAAACAGGGGGCCAACAGTTCCCATGGCTGAAGGCCCCAAGCCATACTTCTCTGAGTATTTATTTAGAATCATAAGGAGGGTAAACAAAGTAAAATCATAAAAAAGTACAAAACAAAAACAAAGGATAATGGTGAAGTCTTTTACAGATAAGGCCAAGTTCCTCTTTATGCTAATCTCAGGAGGGAGGGATTAAGCTGATACAAACTAAGAACAATGTTGACTCTTAGGGAACACCTTAGTGCCACAAGGTGACCTTCAGCTTCTATTAAGCCTCCCTCATTTCAACAACGTATGAGCAAGAGCCTATGGTGATGAAAGAAGAAGTTCAGGCTGCTTTGAAGGATATGGCAAAAAATAAGGCTCCAGGAATAGATGGTA